CATTTATTAAAAATGCATCTACATAAATAGTTTTATCTTTATTCAAGCCACATTTTTACAAATAATTTGTAAATCAAACCATGTTGGACATACTATATGTGTGCACTTCTGAACGTGCAGATTTATGGACATGCTACGAGTGTGCAATACAAAAACTGCCCCTAGATGGTTTTAGTAAGGAATGAAAAATTTAAACAACTGTTATCATGGGCGCCCCCTGGCTACAAAAATTAGAAATAAATTTAATACACATAATGTTCTGTGATCACTTGGGTTTTAAGGAATTTATAAAAGTATGTTCAAAATGGTCATGTCTAAAAAATGTTTTAAATTGATGTTTAAATCAAATAAGTAGTTGACTCACAGATGTAAAAATCTTTTATACGCACTTTCATACTTTAACAAAACTATTCAGAAAACAAAACATAAACTTTCTTGGCTGTTATCTAGGCTTTATTCAACTATAATTTTTTGTCTTTATAATTGTTTGGTTAATTGTTAATGTTGGCATAAAAAACGACGACTCCCTCAGGTGACCGTCCTTGATGCACAATGTACTATTTTGTTTTGGTTGGTTTTATGTATTACAAAATAGCGTAGAAATATGTTTTAAAACACTATATTTTCAGATTTTTTCCCGGGGAAGGCCCCGAACCCCTGGAGGTTCGTTAGACCTATATATTGCACCCCCCTGTTCCAAATTCTGCGGACGCCCATGACTGTTATTGTCTTACATTGTAGACTACTTTTATTTTTAACATTTTAAAAATAAAAATTACTTGGCCTACCAGCTATTAGAAACTTAAACACAAATAGGCCTAAACGAAACATTAAACTAAGCACGAAATAAATCAGGTAGTGCCTTTTGTAAAATGGTACCTATACAGTACAAACTGTATAGCCAGTCTTTATGGGGTTTATTCAACAGTGCTGTCCTTTAGACACATTACTTTATTTTCTTATGAAGTTTTAATTTCTTTTATTTTCTCTGGTTTTTTTTTAGCCTCCTTGGTTTTCTTAAACTCTCTTTACATTACTTCTTTTTCTGGTTTCTTGCCCTATAACATCTCTTCTACTGCGTCTTCCTTCTTTCTTTTTGGTAACTTCAGTGAGAGACTTGTTTCCTTCTTCTTCCTCTATGACGTAAAGTACAATACAGTATCTCTTGCCGATGCGGAACTAGGGATTTCAGTGACAAAATGCGTGAATGCTTCTGGGATTACACCCGCTTTAAGTAGGTACATCAAATCCTTTTTCTTGGCGCTGGAAACCGGAATAGGCTCGGTGTATTTTGGACTGAGAAGTTGTTGTTCCCAGACAAATGGCGTCTCGGAATCCATTCGTACATCAAGAGTCAAAAACTTGATTTCCTTGTTAAGTTCGTACTTGTATAGAATTTCAAAGGGGTTTGCTTTTTAAAACCCAAACCACTTTACCTTTAGCCAATTCACGGATTCTTTTTTGGTGTTATGTTCTGTTGTGCACAGATGCTGTATGTCCTAAACCTAACCTAATTGTAAAATAAAATGTGGACATACTATAAGAGTGCACTTGAGATCATCAGATTTTTGGACATACTACAAGATGAAAAACAAATACCAGAGATAGTAGGCCTTGTATTTTCATGCACAATCATTGCAAGTCCAAAGATACTATATCTGTGCTCTAAAGGAGTTTTTCTCTGTTCAGCTGGTACTGCAATCATTGGACATGCTACTAGTGTGCAGGATAAAATTACATCATACCAAAGTGAACACTTTTATTTTGAGAATTTATATTAATTTTTCCTATTGTAATATGGACATACAATATGTGTGATCTGAAAGATGAAGACTACAGCTTTCCAAATATATAAAAATGTCAAAAGTGAAAAAAATTGGACATACAATGTTTGTGCATATAACCATCGATGTAATAGTGTTTACCCAGAAAAATGGAAAGAAGCTCTTGTTCTTCCTCTACCTAAAGTTACTGAGCCAACAGAATGTAAACATTATAGGTCCATAAATATATTGTGTGTCTTAGGGAAAATTCTAGATAAAGTTGTTTTCCAGCAAGTGTGTAGGTATGTAAATGATAACAACATATTGATAAAATATCAGTCAGAATATCGTCCATCTTACAGTACACAAACAGCTTTGGTTAGAGTTACAGATGATGTCAGATTAGCTATAGACAATAAACAAATTACGTTGATGGTATTGTTGGACTTTACACACGCTTTTGACTGTGTGCAACATCAGCTCTTACTATCTATCCTTGAATCATACAATTTTGGTTTGCAATCTGTCAATTGGTTTAGTATTTAGGTATATAACAAAGAATAAAAACTTTTGGGGGTTCTTTTTCAGATTGGGCAGTAAATAAAGTAGGAGTGCCCCAGGGTTCAAATCTTTCTGCATTGTTATTTTCATTGTACATCAATCGGATTAATGAACCTGTACGATTTAGTAATAAAGTAATGTTGTACGCTGACGATATGCAAATGTATATTCATGGTCAATTAAATTAAATCAATAGAATAATGATAAATTGTATGATACTGATTTATCAATACTACATAGGTGGTGTTCAGATCATGGTTTAAACTTCATTATATTTCATTATATTGCTTTTTAATGATATGCAAAATCATTAAAAAAGCAATATGAAACTGGCATCATTTGATATAGTAAACCTATACACAAATGTCCCGATCCAAGAAACAGTAGAAATATTGGAACAGAATTTACATAAACACTCTAAGCTACCCCTTCAAGCAGTAAACGAGCTCATATCACTTATAAGAATAGTGTTGAAACAGAATTATTTTAAATTTGAAAATAGCTTTTAGAACCAGAAAGATGGGCTAGCAATGGGTTCTCCACTATCTAGTATTTTGGCGGAGATATTCCTCAACCACATCGAAAACAAGCATTTGTTTACCTCAGATAATCGTTACAAAGATAAGATAATCTTTTATTACAGATACGTGGACGACACCATAGTTCTGTTTAATGGTAACAACAGACAGCTCTCTTTGCTAAACAATTACTTGTGTAACATGCATAAAAATATTAAATTCACATTAGAAGAGGAGGCCAACAATAGCCTGAATTTTTTGGACTTAACAATAACGAAGAAAAATGATAGTTTCACATTCAAAATATATCGGAAACCAACTAGTACAGATCAGACCATCCACGCAGATTCCCATCATCCATACTCTCAAAAATTAGCAGCTTACAACAGTTTTGTCCACAGACTCCTCTCCGTACCAATGAACGCAATAGATTATACCGAAGAAATCAACACAATCAAACATATAGCTGTTTCCAATGGTTTCCAAAGCAACATGATTGATAAACTAATTTCCAAGCATAAAAATAAAAAAAAAACGAAAATAAAGAAAAGAAAACCTATGTTTCTGCGAAGTATGGTTCGTTCCTCAGCACTAAATTTAAAAATATAATGGACAGAAATAAAATCACAGTGTCGTTCAAAACTGATAATAAACTTGGTTCTTTATTAAAAAATCGTCCCCAGACACCTACTACAACCTTTGAGAAAACAGGAGTTTACCAAATCAATTGTAATGACTGCCCAAAATATTATATAGGCCAAACATCCCGTTCTTTCAACAAAAGGTTTAAAGAACATCTACCGAAAAGAACTACAGCGGCACAGACCTCGACCTTCGCAGAACATTTAGTTTCTCACAACCACAATTACACTAATATTGATAATAACATGAAAATCCTACACCTCTCAAATGACCGATTTAATACAAACACCTTGGAAGAATTCGAAATTTATAAAGCCGTTAAAATTGACAGCCAAAACATCATCAACGACAAGATTTCATTTCAATCGAATTACATTTACGACACTGCAATCAAGATAATAGCACAAGGGACAGTTGTGAATGAAGTTACCAGCTGATCGGGAAATCCAGGCACGACGTCATCACTGACCACGCTGATCATGACCGGCAGTCTAGACATAATCCCCGCCCGATCACGTCGTGTCCCGTTACCGCTATAGTATTATCTTTTGTTTTTAACCTTAAATGTTCGTTTCTATGTTTGTGTACGTGTGTTTGTTAAATGTATTTATTTATCACAAATTGACGACCTTCAAATGAAGCAAGAAGACTTCTGTACTGGCCTGACGATGACTCCTTTGTGAGTCGAAACCGGTTGCATTTTAGCAACACATTGATTACATAGATGCAGGTATTTACACCATTATTTAGCATGGTTTAAATCTTAATATTATAAAATGTAAACCAATAATAATAGGAAATTCTAGATTGATTTCAAACATTTGTTTAGCCAATATACCCAATATACAGACTAATGGTAGAGATTTACAATATGAGCAATGTGTAGTAAACCTAGGGTTAAGGATGAATAACGTGTTATCATGGGATGACCAAGTAAATTACATATGTACTCTTGTTCCAAGTTACTCAATTTCATCTTTAGGTCGGCGACTTGTGATTTCAGATTTACATTTTCTTGTTTGATTTAGCTTATTTCATTGGTAAATTCAGTTACTTGTTTAGCAACTCCATCTAGCTTTTGACTTAACTCTTCTACCCAATCAGAGTGTTTTGCCATATTATCGCACAAGTCTCGATTCGTTTTCGCTACCTCGGCCCTAGATGACCTCATTTCAATGAGAACAGAAGCGATTGTGACATCACCAGGAGGATCAGCCTTATCGTCGTGCGTTATCGTTTGGGTAGCAGAAAGCTTATCTTTTTGGGCCTCTTCAGTATGCTTTTGTTGACACTGGTCAGAATTCTTGAAACAGTCTTTACATTACCAGTCATGACTTTTACCATACTTGAAATTATATGAAATTATATAAAATGGATAGTTTGATCTGTTAAATTTTGAGCGACAGGTATGTAAAAACCCCCTGTTTCATATCTTTTCACTAAATATCATTATGACCAGCTCAGGAGCTAATTACAGATTTGAGTTTTAAATCTTCTACCTATTTGGTTCAATTACCTGTTTTCTATCCAAGCAGTCAGCCCATCTTGGATTGAGTTCAAGAAACGGTAACAATGTAAGTGATACATCATTAGGACTACCAACTGTGGTAACTATATGAACAAGAGCTTGTTCAACTGTTGTTTCTGGCAAGTAACAATCTCCACTGCAAAGGAAACCTGAAACCCGTTACATTGAAAGTTGAAATGGAAACTCAGTAGGAAGTGTTATATTGTTGGAACACCAGAAGGTACTAAGATTATCCATATTCATTTCCCAAAGGTTTGCACCAGTTTACAAAAGAGAATACATTTTATATTCCATCCTAGTTTCAAGAACTTAAATTACATTATAATACAGTATAGTAGACAAGGAAACCCGAGCGGAGCGGGTCAATGAGCCACTTAAGAACAACGTTGAGGAAAACTTTGTGCTAGAATTTAAGTAATTGTAGCAAAATTCTTACAGTTATTTAATACTGATAGAAATGGATTTTTAATATCTTTATAATCCACCTAGGCCTACATTTCTGCTCTCAGTTTTCATTGATTACTTCTATTGAATGCTAAACATTCTCCTTCAATTCCAGTGAACATTGTAGTATATGAAATAATGACTTTATTCCCCAAATATATTCAGGGTTGGTCGCCGTGATCTGCCCTGAACTGAAGGGGTGTACGTCTTGTGAGTTTTAAAAGTATGTTTTAGTGGTAAAATGTTTTTGCGACTACGTAATTTAGTGTTACTATTGATCTTGGACAGTTGGACAATTATTATTTTACTGTGTAACGACATCGTGATTTGTCGTTATTAATATTCAGACAAGTGATAACTCAAGTTTCGTGATTGATAAATTCTTTATTAACTTGTAGTAAGCTGACAAATCTATCAGCTGACAGATGTTTTAAATAGTTTTATTGAATTTTGGTTGCTAAATGAGGTTCTTTTCACTAAAAACTCATCACATCTTATAATGCACAAGGTAAAAAAGATTGGAGTGTCGTCACAATATAAACTAAAACTAAAACCAAACTAAAACTAATAAAGTTGACAGAAGTAAAATTCTCATAAATAACCAGAAAAGACCTTATCATTCAGCGTATGATAAGGGATCAGAAGACAGGTGAACATGTGATTTTGTGCTCCCTTGAATTTTGTATATTTCAGTGGTAAATTCCAGTTTTTAAACCATCATTTTGGTATGTAAATGTAGAGATAAACATTTTCTTGAGTAATCTATAAACACCTTCGGGTGAAGGAGAATATTTTTATCTATAAATTGACATTTTAAGGTTAAAATAATTAGGATTATTATGAAAATTCTTCAACAGTGATAAGGTTGAGAGATAAGGAGGGACCAGGTCTAGGTGAACTGACCTTAGTACTCACCTGTGATAAGCGCATCAGCATTGGAGTGAAGCTCAATGTTTACAAACACCACTATCTAGGAAGCTACCTATTAATATTCCTTCTCTCAAATTTGTATATAATTATATTTAAAAAAATATATATAAACATCGAAATAAATTTTAACAAGTACCTATTTTGTGAACTTTCATAACTCTTGGGACTTAGATGGTAGATATTCTACCTCCAACATCTATTCGAGATCAGTTTGGCTAATATAACATTATATTTTTGTCCAAGAGATTTTAATCAAATATTTAAGTATTTAATGAAATCGGCCAAGAACAATAACCATCTATGTGGTGTTTGTACAAAAGGAAGTTAGAACTTCAGCTATATTATGTAGGTGTAATTGTGACCTATGATATCATCAAAAATGTACTACCCTTATTAAAATGGAGTTCAAACATATTTATGATAGCAAAATAGTTGACTGGAAATGCCAAACCTGCACAGTATTTCTAATGATAATGTATTGAATATTTAATTTGTAAAATAACAAATTGCAAATTTGAGTATACAAGAGGGGGACCTTGAAAAATCACTAACCATTGCAGCTGAAGCTGGAAACTTTCTTTTGGAGGAAAATTAAAAACTCAAACAAAATATACATGTTTTTAAAATGTCAAAAGTAAAGAGCAGATAGAATTAGAATATAAAATCAAAGATCTTGAGGAAAAAATCAACAACCTAACCGAAGAGTTTGTTTTTAAGGAGAAAGCTGTATTACATCAACTAGAAACTGTAACTACAAAAATGAAATACCCCCGCCGCAGCAAACCTGCAGACTTAGCGAATTTCCATCTGCCTGATTGGATTTAAACTAAAATGTCTCCTTAAAAATATCACATTTATGCCCTATTTAAACAGAATTAGTTTAATGAGTACTTAGGTTTGCTGCAACAGGGAGGGTAAACAAGTTTTTTTTTTTCAATGTAAAATATTAAAAGGTACTGTGGTTTAGTAAGAAATTAATGTATTTTCCAAATTTGATCAAAATATGTTCATAAACAAGCAAACTACAACAGTTGACTTATTCTCCATAAGAATAACATGGGAATTTTAAAATTACAATTTTTTGGAATTTTCTCTGTAACAATTAGGCGCATAATAATGCTTCAATATACTAAATTATTTGTTTTTTTAAGCTCTACAAAATGGTTTAAAAATAAATTGTGAAATTTTGTGTTTATAGGGTCAAAAATGGGAAAAACCTTTTTTTACCCCATAAAACCCCCCATAAACCCCTGTTCCCATAGTCCGATCATGCTGGTTCGCGAACTCATTCAAGTTTATCCCTCCTTACACCTTCAAACCAAATTTGATCAAAATCGGACAAAAATTACTCAAGTTATCGTGCGGATGGACACACACACACACACACATATATATATATATATATATATATATATATATAGATAATTGGAAACATTATAACAACATTAAGTACCCTTTTAAATTCATTTAAAAAATGAATTTAAAAGGGTACTTAATGTTGTTATAATGTTTCCAATTATTAATATAGTAGCCCTAATCACAACCATACTTATTATATATATAGATATATAAAAATTTGAACGAATGGTGTTTTTGGCCTCTGGGGACATCAAAATGAAAAAGTAAATCGGTCCCGGGCTTAGATCTTACCATGGGAGACCTACGGTAATAGTTACTTCCCTATAGGGAAATTCGCTAACAAGAAAGGCAAACTTATGAAGAGTTTATTTTACAACTGGAAAAAGAAAGGAGTGAGATAGTATCTGAAAAAGAAGAACTACGGTAATAAAAGGCTTTTTAATAACCTACCCACAACTCTAAAAACATACTGGTATTAATTAATTAAGTAAAATTATCAATTATTAAGTGATTATTAAGCCGAGGGTTAAAAAGAGTTAGGCTAACTTAGATTAATATAATGGCAACCGGTCGTAAAAAAGGGCAAACCATTCATAGTGAAGCGAGGGAAATTATAATACGTGTAATTCAAAAGTGTGACGAAGAATCCAACTCTAGAACCCTCCAGTATACCCTGAAACAAGGTAATCAGCGGGTTGCTAACTATACGGGGATTTCTGTTTGTAGTGTTACGTCAATTAGGAAAGAAGGGGTTGAGGCCGGAGGATCTACCCTAGAAACACCAGGTAAAAAGGACCCTAATGAGAGGAGAAGAAATTCCACATCGATGAATTTGATAAAAGAGTGTTAAGAGACACTATTCATGATTTTTATACGATACAAAAAAAAGTGCCGACATCACCAAAACTGTTATATGCAATTAAAGAAAAAATTAATTTTCCTTAGGGAGTTTCCACTTTAGAAAAACTCCTAAAAGACATGGGGTTTAAATGGAAAAGGTGTGGGAAAATTAGAAAAGTGTTGATAGAACGGTCGGATATTAGCCCAGTCAACGAAGCTCAAAATATGTCCCTCAGCGGGAAAAAATGGTGTAGTCCCGGATTTTTGCACAGTTGTAGGGGATACCCTTCTGAACAACATACTAAAAGTCCTGACTGATGGGGTGTGAGCTATGGGGGGGAGGGGGGTGTAAATGCACAATTTTTCGGTTTTCTGTAAATATCTCGAAAACAGTGCCCTCTAGCGGTAAAATGTACTATACAAAAATGAAGAGCATTAAATTTCCAACAATAATGCTCATTACATCGTGTTCCTAAAATCAACACTTAACGAGATACATGAGTCATAAGGAAAAAAAACATTCAGAGCAACTAGTATTATTGTGGTAAAGTGATTGTTTTATACTACATCAAGTTATATAAACTGATAAAAATGTGCTAAATACTCGTCTATGCAGTACAGCTGTAGAAAAAATTGAGGGGAGAGGAAGTCGGGCCGGACTGGAAACCGAGAGACCAAACAGTGGTAACCATAATAACATACTGTAATATTAAAACTAAATTAAACTTGCAGAAAATGTTATTACACTTGTCTTTTAACCCAGTAACCTAACACATTTTACCTTGCATGAAATGGGGTAGTAGGTTTCTTACGTTGTTTGTAATAGTACCGAGATGCTAAATCCAAATTTTCGACCTCGGCAACCTCCCGGATCACCTCCAAAAACCTTAAAAATCGGCGGAATTTTGCACTATTTTTACGTTTGTCCGATTTTGACCCTGAAGCATCACTTTTTCATAGAAAACTACCATAATCATTTTTAAAGTACATTAGATTACCTATCATTTAAGACCAAAATGGTTAATACAGGCCTAATAGTTTTCAAGATATGGCACAGCAAATAATAAATAAAATTGCCAAATTATGAACCTTTTTAAAGTTTGGCTAACGTTAACCCTTAAGCATAACTTTCTCATTATTTTTTATTAAAACAACCATAATTACTTTAAAACTACATTAAATTGCCCACAATTTAAGACCAGAATGGTGATTATAGGCCTCACACATTGAGAATATCCTCAATCACGGTTCATAAAATCTTCTATAAATGCTTGTATTTCAAGTTTCAAGCTATTCAATTTGGTCAAATTTTATAAAAGAACCATAATAAGAATATAAACAAATTTATTTAATTTCAACAACAGATTGTAAGTTTTATTTAAAAATATTTCTTATGGAAGAAATCTGTCGTTATTAAAATGTTCATACTATCAAGAGGAATTGATAGAAAGAATGAAGAGGCAACAATGAAAACAAGTTTTAACTTTGCTGTCGTTCTGCCATGCTACATATTACTTCTTTTATGCCTTTTGCGCGCGGAACAGAGTACAGACACAAGTGACGGAAGGTCAACAGC